TTTTCCTGATAATACCTTTTAGTATAAAAGAACATTTTCCTTGGACATTTGGTTTTCTCAAACAGTTCTTTCATTCAGCCTGACATTTTTCCAGATGAAAAAATTGAGAAATGTTTCTCATCGACAGTGATCTCCTAGCCACTGTACTGTACTGTAGCGCAGAAAACCAAGGGGGAAAGAATCCATTTCAGATTTAAACATCAGAAGGAAATGATGGTTTTAGCAAGCAGCTGTGTCAAGCAGAAGGACGCGACCCACACCCACACCCCGAGATGGATTCAGCTCTCTCCCCCCGGTCTGTCCCAGTCAGTGGCAGGAGGGTGACAAGACTGGTGCCCAGGCTGTACCCGCTCTAGACACAGAGAGGCTGTAAAATTTACATTAACGTTTCAAACACACGGAGGGATAAAATAACACGGTAACATACATCTATAGTGACTTTATATAATGCAAAGCTATTTGCAATGATTTTACTAGAAATTTGTATTTTACGCTCTGATCTCCGTTTTTAGTTTACATCTTTTTTTGATGTCGGGGAATTTGTAAGTCCAGGGACACAAAAAAGCATTAGAGTAAACCGCGCCGCCGCGCTGCAAAAATACCACTAAATCTCGTGCAACTGTAGACGAGTTTAAACATGTTCCGGAAAACAACTTCATTCACCTCTGTGTGGCTGTGAAACTGTCTTTCCCTCCAGGGGAGCTTCAATTAAGCATCCTGACAGGACTCGGTGACAGCTGGCCTGGCTCGGCTTGTTTAACTGTGCTGCGGGCGGGCGGCGGACGTGCACTCGCCTCTCTCGAATGAAATGCATGAATACACGGAGAGCTCCCATTATCGGGACGCTGAAACCCTTTTCCTTGAGATTAGACACCCTAATTGTGTCAAATGTGCTCGAAGTGCTCGAAGAGAAAAGGAGAAACTCATCCAAGCGTTTCTGTGAAAACGAAAGCGAACAGCAGTCTCGCTCTGCGCGCCGGCTCATTAGCTGTCCAGCGACCTGCGAGTGTCCCGGCGGGGTGTCCTCTGCTCCCGGCGGGGTGTCCTCTGCTCCCAGCGCCCGTCAGCCCGCAGTCCTCGCTCCCGAACAGTGCATGTACTTTTAGGCAACCAAATCCCCATTTAAATCCTAACAGATTCGACCTTAACTACATCCTTGATTTTAACATAATCGTTATTTCATGTACTAAGCAGGCTAACACTTATCAGCAAAACGTACAGTACTTCGCAGATAAACGTTTAGTGTAAACCCTCTTCCGCTAGATGGAAAGATCTTAAACGGCTCGTAGATGTTGTTCTCCTCAGCTCGAAGAGAAGACACTGCGTCCCAGGGCCACTGACCACCCAGCCAGATCTGCACAGGAAAGCCTTGAGCTCTCTGCCTGTTTGCTTGAGATATCTTGTATTACTTATATTGCTCTCTGCTTTGTGTTGTCTGATGTTATCCTGTATCCTATCCTGTTTATTACTTGGGTCGCATGTATTTAATTGTATAGTGCACATTGAGACTGACCTATGAAAAGTGCACTACAGTATAAATAAAATGTCTTATTACTCGTACAGCGCGCCCTAGTTTCCAGCGATCGAGTGAGCACACAGAGCATGTGCCTGATGGGATGCTGCTCAGGCCGACGCGGTTAAGGGTCACGCTTGTGTTTAGCTGGGCTTTTCCTTCCGCTGACTGGTTTTCCCTGCCGCCCCTCAGATCAGTTTTTGTGTCACAAAGCCCCCGGGCCTCCCGGTCTCCGTGTCTAGCCTTGTTTCTGTAGGCTGCCTTCCTACCCTTCTCAGACCTTCAAGCTCGGTGAGGTTAATATTCAATGTCAACGAATCGCACGGAGAGGCTCTGGAAGAGAGTTAGACAGATGCCGCTAACGTCCAGTGTTTTCGCCTTTAGCTAAATTAACCACACAGACCTGGTTTTATTTTTAAAGTCACCCAGCTTTATAGCAGTTGTCTGCAGGAAACACTATCCAGTCAAAAACACAGGACAATGACAAAAGCTTTGGATGAAAGCCTCAGATATTTAAAAAATAATGTAATTGTACACAACATTCACTGCATTCTGTGCAACATTCTAAATGAGATCTTACCTGGGCATTATCCAATTTTAACATTTCATTAATTTAAATTATGCTGTTTTCCATCTATATAGCCAACACCAGCTGTACCTTTATACAGTATTGTTTTTTCACATTCACTAGAAGATTCAAATGATTATTCAACATAAACACCTGTCTTTGTCTTTTTATGCACCTCTTAATGAATGTCACTAGGTCTTTTCCCAGTCTTTTTGAATTTCATCCCCCAACTAGCTCAATAATCACACCAGAATCTCAATTGTTAATATAAAATAGGAGAGTAGTTCTTCATAGAAATCCCAGCGCTTCTCTATTAATGACATTAAATTCTCCTAATGATAAATTCTGTATGAAAGTTGCGAAAGTGGTGAAGAAAGCTGTGGTCTAGAATCTGAATTAGCATGAAATGTGAGAGGTGAGGAAAGAGGCGATTTCCTTATTGAAGATCAGATCACTTTATTGGCCATACTCAATTTCCTGCATTAGGACTTTGTCTTTTCACATACCCCAACTTGCTCTCCATGAGACACAGACAGGGAGAGAAGCTTGGAGTCAGAGCGCAGGGTCAGCCATTTCTACAGCACCCCTGGAGCAGTTGGGGTTAAGGGCCTTGCTCAGGGGCCCAATAGGGTAGGATTCCCCTGCCGGCCGCGGGATGCAATCTGGCAACCTTCCAGCCACAGGCACAGATCCTGAGCCACACAGCCAGAGCACCACCCTATTGATACCAGATAGAATTCACTGCAACAAGGAAACCACCTTGAGCTCCGATTCAACTGGCACAGAAGGACAAATAAAGAGAGACACTTGGGAAAGATGAAATTTTTTATTTACAGTTTTTTTAGCAAAATAGTTCTGGACATGCATTAATATTTCCTTACAAAAGTAATTAAAAAATGGAAGTATTCACACAGCTGAACTCCAGCTTGCCACTTTCAAACAATTTTGCATTTACTACAAAGCAATAAAAAAAAAACAAGAGAAAATGTAATAATGAGGTGATAACAGCAAATGTGAACAGAATCGGAAGCAGTTCTGTAAATATAATTCATACATGGCTGTCTGATCAGCTGCACATACTTGTTCCTCCAATCAGAAGTGAAATCCTGTTTCATCATACAGTAGACTGAGGAACCTCAAGTCAATAATTAGCAAGGATGCTAATTTAAAGCAAAATAATACATTGAATAGTAGGAAACAGAGAAGACTTCATTTATAATTATGTTGCATCACATAAATGCTGCTTTCGTACTGGTAGAGTCAGATAGGTTTTATTGGACCACTGTGTTTTTTCAATTAAGGCAGTAGCAAAGTCCCAGTACCCAGGAAAATAAATCAAAACACTAGCAGAATAAACTACTTGAATATGACAGGCTGACGGAAAGAAAAACATCATGAGTGTCTCCACACGAGAAAGAGAAGGACATTAATGACAAACCTGACTACTGTTTTCATTAAAGAGCAAGCTTAAAGAAAGACACAGGTCTCATTCTTCCTCGCTTTGCTATTTAAGACTGTGTCTGAATGTACGTTTTGCATAAATAGTTATCAAACATGAATCAGTATTGCTGTTGCTATAGGAAGTCAAGCAAGTGGTTCTTCCATGGTTTAAGGACGTGTCCTTTGCCTCCACTTGAAGGGACACTGGTCTGTACTGGATTGTTCGGGATGTGTAAGGGGGTGTGTACAGTACGTCGGAGGGCAGTAGGAGATCTGCACGCAGGAAGAAGCTCTGTAAAATGCTTTGGGTCTTTAAATGTGTCCTTGAAACAACAACGGAAAAAGGCACTTGCTCTGCCAACCTGGAAACAAAACTACACTCCCCTCCTTTTCAATGCCTCATCTTCATTTTGTCCTCCTTATAATCACAGCTAACCCTTAAACACAGTTTAATCCCATTACTTCTTAACACATCAAGGGGTGTATTCCAGTATTCCTGCCCTGATCAATAAATCAGACTGAAGTCAGATTTGTGTGCTCAACAACATGAAGAACAGACACAATTCAGGCATGGTACAGTATCTTCAAGCTGCTGAGTGGGTCTGATTTACTGGTTTGAGAGCTCTGGCATCCATTTGTTTTACAAATGGCTTGCTCTCTGGTTTTGTTTTGAACAATAGTTTTAATTATACTGTTGATAATGGAGGATTCATTAAATTTCAATCAATTTTAATTAGAAAGGTATGAATAACAAAAAAAACACTCCCTCCTGTTAGCACACAACTTATTGTTTCTTCTGAACTAGGAATGTAAGCTCAAAAGGATTGTGGACGACTCTTTTTCAGGTGTTTCACTTGAATTCTCAGATCTATAAGGTTTAATAAAGCTTGTCAAAATGATATGCAAAACTCTTTTATCTAGAGAAATCTCAAGAGTAAATAAAACTGCCTTTTCTGTATAAAAAACAGCACACGTTTCTTTGGCACACAGTCAATACAAAGAAAAACCTTCATATTTTCAATTTCTATTCCTGCCCCTGTTCACTAGGAGTTTGAAATCCTCAAAAGGACATAGTAGCACACAACACAAGGAAATGTCTAGCTAGCCGAAACCAGTTTCCTCAGTCACCTGCTCAAAACTAATAACCCCTCCGCCCCAGAGTATTTCAGAGTATTGATCTGCTGATCAATGAAGAGCTGAAGCCCAGCCAGGGTTCTCCTGCAGGCAAGAACAGAAGGAACAGCGCTGCACTGTGAGCTATAACACTCATTCATTCCCAAAATGAGTCCACAGGAAACCAACACAAAAAGCAGGCCTGCACTGCTAGCAGACATCAGACATCACACATCAGCTTGTCAGTAAGCACTAGGAGACACAGGACTTGGGGAAAGCCAGGAAAATGACAAAAGCAAAATAGTTGAAATGTTTCATGTCTAAATTCTAAATTTAAATTCAGCTCAGTTTTAATTCTGCCCACTTCAGAACAGCTGACTGCCCACTGGAGGACTGTCAGATCCATATTCCTGCTTTGCTTCCTGCAGACGCTGATTTCGGATTAATTCCGTGCGGAAGACCACTGTCCTTAATCTGGAGGGGAAGAGGCCAGCTCTGACTACAGCAAAGATGGGCACTGCAGCACCGAGCTGGCACTCTGCAGACATCTTTATTAAGGCAGTTAAAAATGACACAGGATGGCAGTGAAAACTGACAATACTGGGATAGATCCAGTCAGATATCAGAAATTTCAATGTTCACCAGCTGACCAGGGTATAACATGCAAACCCGATAGTGTCTGATCTCCTCCATTGGGCTTCACTGCCCAGCTGTGATGCCAAGCTACACCTCTCACCAGGGCAGGATCTACTGGAGACATCAGTACCACACCGTTCACTGCTCAGCGTGTACGTTATAGATTCTTCGCTTTTGACTTTTTACTATCAGACTAATTCACAAATCTTTAACAATATGCCCCAAAAGAAAAACAACTTCACCAAGCTTTTTTAAAAAAACTGTGTTCTCTGAACCCATTCAGAATACATACGAAAGCAAAACAAAAACTGTTTTATATAAATGTTTTACGCACATTATGAAAATATAGACCTAGAAGACTGAAACTGAACTCTTTTCATGTATGTACATGTAAACTTGTTTGCCATGGCTGTGGTATTCCCAACTTATATTTAAACAGACAGGTTTGCTACAAAGAAGTTTGTTTTCTTTTTTAAATACTTAAGTACAGTGTTAGGCCTAGAACCTCATTTACAATTAGAAATAACCTCTTAACGGAAGAACACTAGCAAGGTATAAATTCTTAAGTACAAATCTGGTACATTATCCAGCGGATGTGGTGCTGATGGCTTAAACTCCAAAGCTCATAAATGCGAGTATGTGCATAGAAGCCCTGCCTGCTGGAAGACTGCAGGACTGGGTGGCAGATGTCCATTTACTTTGGAAGGTTATGACTTTCACAGTAACCAGAGAGAGGAAAGAAAGGCGATAACTTAAACAGAGATGACTTCCTCTCTTGCCGGACACAGAAAAATAAATCTTTAGGTGTAATTTCTGAGGTCAAGTGGTCGGGGAACTTGTGCTGCAATGGGGAGTGCCTCTCTGCTCCTCTCCCTGATGAAGATCGCCTGAACTCTGCTCTAGCAGAAGAGAACCTTCTGCCTTTCATGCAATTTGAAACTGCAGACCAGCAATTTCACAGCATTAGAGAAGACTCTATCTTTCTGATGACTGCTTTGATTTACAGCAGATAACTTGTAACAATACACCATTTTTACACAGGGAACATATCCATTCCTTCTGCATGAGCAGCCACAGAGGAAGTTCTGAAATCCTTTTCCATGTTACAATGCTCCTCCCCAAGTAGAGCAATTATGTTTGTAGGCTGTTTGCACAGTTCATTTTACACCCTACTTCCAACCCAGATCACCTGGGGTCTGGCAGGCAGTGAAACAGCGAAGATGTTCCCAACAGTCCCCCCATGTTTCTTGGGCTGTGGGCTCCGGCGGAGTGACAGACTCACACATGACATGTTTACACTGGCACCACCACATCTGGCCAGCAGATGCCCCCCTACTCAAGATCAAAAAAGCACTTAAAAATGACAAAAACAAGAACCTAAAAAAACAGCCACGCTGGGGGAGAAGCAGGCGGTATGCTTCCAGAGGTGCAGTCCTTTCTTTGCAGGATGCCATCCGACTGGGATGCTGTCTCCCCCTGAAAAATCCCTGAGCACTTTCTTTTTTTCTGAGAGCAAAATGTCTACCAGGAGCTGCACTGCTAAGTCCGAAAGGAAGATCGGAGCTGGCGCTGGCGCTGGCGGGGTGTGGAATGCTGGGAGCCCATCGGGATGACTGCTGCCCAGGTACCTTCACCAGGACTGAGTGCCCGCTGGCCACCCTGTCGCACTGCTCATAGGATGGGCTCCAGCTCCCAGTAAAGGGGAATCTGGGCATCAGTGCTAACTGTCCTGAACTACGGCTAGTTTTTAACTCTTCAAAGCATTGCCACAGCCACCAAAATCAATTCAGGCACTGTTTGATAACAGGTTTTCATTAAGCAGGAGCAATCAGCCTCTGGGCAAATACCATGGTACCAGCGAGTCCTGGGCAGGTAATTTCACACGTGGCTGGTCTCAATGACGGAAGACTAGGAAGGACATGGCAGCATGCAGGGGGGAAACAGGCAAGCTGGTCACACTCCACTTTCTGAGCTGCGAGGATGAGAGGACCCCTGTGGATCCCATTAAACCTGTCGACAGCAATCCACTGTCTCTTGTGTATGGCTTTAAAGAGGAGGCTCATCTGCTCTGGAACGCCGAGCCGGGAAGCCTGTTACTGAAGAGTTCTTCACCCCGGTTCTTATGGCTGGATGATAAGGCACTTTCATGGAAATGCAGCATCTGAACCTTCCTCTTTCCAACCCCAGCTGCAAGAAAAAGCCCCAGGAAATACAGAAATAAAACTGTACTTCCTAGCACCATAAAAACCTCTTGTTTACTGGATGTCTCTACACCGAAATGACTCCTGTTTGCACACTGTTTTTAAAAATATTTATACTAGTGTTAAGTTCAGAAAAAAAAAACATACAAATAAAAAACAAGAATGGAATCAATGCCCCATATTTTCAGGAAAATCAACACAAAACAAAAAACAACCTTTTACTGCCTGTATAAGTTAGCTGATTATCACCAGTGTGCACTCTTACATGCAGTGTAATGTTTTCCAAATGCAATATGCTGGTACTTCATCATTCTGTACTGTTAGTTCTGCTTCTGTTATTTCACTGTCTCCCCATCTGGAAAACTGATGTAAAAATATAGCTAGAAGCCAGCTAAGCCAGAACTCTTAGATCCCTTTTAACTCAGAAACAGAACGTCTGTTTGTGTGAACGAAAAAAATTCTACCGAAATTCCACATCATTTAGTCATTTTTGGTATAAAAATGAAAATGGAAAGCGCAGATTATTTTTTGCCAATTATTTTTTAAATCTTGGAATGTAAATCTAAACATCATTAAAGGAGCTGATGCAGATCTCAACCAGGCACTTCGATAGAGTTTTACCCCACAAATCTTGAGAACGTCAGGGACAAAATGGCTCAGTCCGACTCTTAACGTCCAGACTCTACAATGCCATCACCTTGTTTCAGAACTACAGGGCGTTAAAGAGGGGGCTCACCATGGGGGCTGCACAACCCCTGTGGACAACACTTTGCCATCGAGTCTTGGCCACGCCATCAGCCAGCTGTGGCCAGGATTATGTGTGGCGGCACATAACTGGCAATTCCAAATGTGAAAAAAAATGGAAATAAATAACGATCAAAGCACAAACAACACGAAATGATAAAGAAGCATACTGATCCATGAAGAAGACGGTCTCAGCATGAAAAACAAGTGACCCGGTCTGCTGCCTACGCACGTGTCCCCTGAATCGGGTTCTCTCTTTCCTGATGTCCAGCTTCCACAGCACAGCCACGGTTCTCCCTGCAGGCACACGGGCAGCTTTCCTACAGGAAAAACAGGGCCTGACGTCCCTGCTGGAGGGAGAAGGGCCCGTGAGGTGGATTGTGTTCTGCTCTGTGCCAGACGGAGGCCTGGTTTCCAGTCTCTGATCCACAGAGCAGGGATCCCTGGGATTGGTGTGGGCAGGGCGGGCTAGATCCAGACGGAGGGTTTCGCCTCCGCTGATTTGCTGTTGCTGTTGCTGCTGCTGCTGCTGCCCCCCCTGTCCCCTGCCCCGGTCTTTTTGGTGCTGTGCCGGGGGCCGCTCCTGGCCCTCCTGTCCCCGTGGCTGCTGGGGATGTTTGGGTGTGGGTGGGGGCCGCGGGGGCCACCGTGGTGGTGCTGGTCGCTGTAGGCCTGGAGGGCCGCCTCCAGACCCTCGTGGACCTCGTGGATCTCCTTCTGCAGGGAGCCGCGGGGCTCGGCAGTCGGGAAGTTGTCCTCGTTGCTGCCGAACTGCTGCTGCTCCTCGTGGGCAATGTTGGCTTTGTTTTGCTTGCAGGCCATCTTGGCGTTGCTGAGGTCGGTGTACTGGATCTGCTCAGGCTTCACCACAATGTTGTATCCTGGAGGGGCTGACGGGGCATTCCAGGTGAAAGGGTAGCTGCTGTACCCTCCAGGGGCCGCTTCCGTCTCTGCCACCCCTGTGCCCCCTGCCCCGACGGAGCTCATCTGGTACTCGTCCTCCTCGGGAGGGGACTGCCTGCTGCGCAGGATGTCACACATGCTGCCGAACCCCAAATGGAGCATCTCCCAGACGTTGAGGGTCAAGCAGAGACCGGTGACGCCGTACATGATGCGCAGGAAGATGGACTTCTCGGTGGGCCGTGAAACGAAGCAGTCCACTTTGTGCGGGCAGGGCTTGCTGTTGCACTGGAAGACCGGCTGAACCGCAAACCCGTAGAGGAGGCACTGCCCGGCCAGGAAGCCCACCTCCAGCGCTGTGCGTGTCAGCAGCTGCAGCACGTAGATCTTCATCAGCCCGTCCTCTTTAATGCGATGCCGCCCGTCGTGCCGGGTCTTGGCCTTCCCCCGCGGCGTGGCCTCGCTGCGGCTCTCCATTTCGGGCTCCTCGTAGATCATGGGGTCCTCTTCGTGGTCGTCCTCTGCCTCCTCGATGCCACGGTGCTGCCTCCTTCCCAGGAACATCTTGCCCCGCGGCTTCCTGGAGCCAAACCCGCCGCCGCCCGCCGCCCCCTTCCCCTCCTCCAGCCGGGCAATCTTGTTGATGGCGTAGCAGAGGTACAGCAGGGAGGGCGTGGACACCACGATGATCTGGAACACCCAGAAGCGGACGTGGGACAGGGGCGCGAAGGCATCGTAGCAGACGTTCTCGCAGCCCGGCTGGCCCGTGTTGCAGACGAACTTGCTCTGCTCGTCGTAGTAGATGGACTCGCCGCCCACGGCCGTCAGCACGATGCGGAAGACGATGAGCACAGTGAGCCACAGCTTGCCCACGAAGGTGGAGTGGTTGTGGATCTCCTCCAGCAGCCGTGTCAGGAAGCTCCAGCTCATGGTGGCGGCTGCAGCGGGCCCGGGGAGGGACGCGCTCCCTCGGCGACCCTGCGGGACAGACAGCGGATGGTCACGCTTCCGCGTTAATGCGTTACGACTCATCCTCGCCGGATTCTGCTCTCCCACGCCAACGAAACATGGTCAAATGCCTTATTCTGCTCCCACAAATCAACAATCGACAGCAACCTCTTCAAGGAACGAAGCCCACACCTCACCCGTAATTATGGGCGTACTCCCCCGTGTTTATAAATAGATGATTTCACTACTATGAAAGGATTGGCAAAGAGTCACAAAGGGGATCTGAATACAGCATAAACTATGCAAGAGATTCTCAATAAATGTCTGTGTATCATCATGTACCACGTGAGGCTATCACAACAGAAAAACACATTGGAGAATTCTGCATAATTTAGTAGAACTATGATACATTAGGGAAAAGCATCTGTCACAAATGAGTCTCTACTAAAATTTTCCAAGCAGCGATTTTTCTAAGCATGTCTTCAGACACGTACAACCTCCATCATGACATAACAACAAGAACAACACAGACATGATGAAAACCTAATGAAAAGTGTTGTCTTTGTATATACAGTTACATCGATAAATATCTCCGGTTTATTAGGCTGATTTGTTTATGAAATAATTTAAAAGAGCTAAACATCAGAGTTTGCAGGGGAACTGCTGTTCCAGGGTAATATTCAAGCATTTTTGAAGGAGTTAATCCAACGTCGACAGATTAGTAGCAGTTTCAGCTGCGGGCAGTGAGAGTTCAGAGGGTTACCTTGGGCTGGCAGCAGGGGGAGCTGCGGTCTCTGGAACACGTCTCACGCGAATGGCTTTCCTTTCACTGTCCTCTCCACTCTCTCCTCCTTCGGGGTTGTTCTGGTGCTGCAGAGAAACATGTGGAATTTGCTGAACAACAGGAAGTGGGCATTCGTTTGCAGTAAAAACAGATGTTTTTAATTAAAAGAATAAATTAAGAGAGGGAAGAACACAGTACGAAGCCCATTTTGCAGCCCCTTTGGGTTTGTTGTGGTTTGAGCTGCAGTACAGTCATATAAGAGCACTGGCATAGTCAACTAGGCCCTAAGAATGGGGGAAGCATTTATTTACTTAATGACTTACACATATCGTTAATTATCACCGCCATTTTCTCTTGGTTTTCTCCTGCAAGCACTAAATAACGCATTTTCTCTCTTCTCTTTTCAGCATGGAATAAACCTATCACTTGTTCCTAATTACTGATGGTTTTACATACACTCACTCCAAGCTCCAGCGTGTCTTAGGGAATTGGAACTGGTGTTATCAAGAGGGACAGTTTTACACTGGAGCACAACCATTCAAGAAAGAACCAACTAGCATAAAGGAGAAAAGAAATGGGGACACGTGGACAAGGTTTATTTTTCACTCATGAGTGCGATCTGTTTGCTTCACCGTTTACTGGGGCATGACAGTATGAGACACCGATCAAGCAAGTACATGAGGAAGTTCACAAAAGAGATGAAGACGCTTACATTATCTAACTCATTTGGTCCTTAGTAGCTAATTGACCCAAGATCAAATCCAGCCATTTCTTGAAAGGAGGAATGACTCGACAACATAGTTGGACAGATTGTTCCAGACCCCAACCATACTTTGTGTAAAACAGGGACTTGTGTTCCCTGTTAAATGCACTCCTCTCAGCTTCCGTTTGAGCCCTCCGATTCGTTTCTCTCAGATCATTCTGAACAAGTCCACAGGATTGACTTTTGTCACTATCTTTTTTTAACGCTTGTATATGGTCTCCTTGTAGTCTTCTATGTTCAAGACAAAAAAGGTACAGTTCTTTCATACTGTCAGTGTAGAGCATTCTCTTAAGTCACAGAATTCACGCTTTTGCAATTCTCTGGACAGATTCCAGGACGACAATGTTTTTGTAACTTGGTGACCAAAACTGAAGACAATGAAAAGGTCTTACTAGTGCATTGTACAACTTGCCCTGGGTTTCAATTCTTTGCCCTGAGAACCCATCATCTACCCCTTAGTCAACCTGCAGTGGTTCAATCAGTGATTAGGACTGAGAACAGAAAACACTTCTTTATACAACAGGTGAAGGGTGACTGCAAAAAACCCACTCAATCAGTTTTTAAAAACTGAGTTAATTGCATTCTTCAAGCAACCCAACTTAAAATCCACTGAAGATTTGATTTGTCCAACATTTTGCTCCAACCACACACCAGAGTCAGGGCACTCAGGCACAAACCCGCTATCACAAGAACAGGATACAAGATAATTCTCGGGTGATGCATCTCTAGCCTGACGTGAAACACTACGCATTGACAAATCCTTTTCCAGAGCTCCCCTCGAGAGGCAGAGAGCCTTCCAGGCTCGGCTCACCCCAGCTGGGAAACTGTGTTGTTGGCACGGGAGGCAGCAGCTAGTGGAGGATAAGTTCTTCTAAGTGAGCGGTTTTTCCCAGCAGGGCGAATGCCAGTGCGCTGGAGCAGAAGATCACAATGTGGTGCTCTCCTCTCCCGGCCAGAGGAACCGAGAGGCAGGGACCCTCGATTAACCTGCGCGGTGAAGCGGAAGGCACACGTCTCCCACCAGCCCCAGAGGGGCACCGTCATGTCAGACCCTCCCACGGCTCAAAGGCTGAAGCCGACCTGCCAGCTCCAACTTCCATTGCTGATCCTAACGAATTGACGGTATCAAGAACTTTGTGAATCAGTGTTAAGTCATGAACTTTTTGAAAGTACTGTATGGCCGCCACGTTACTGCAAACCGCTGATCTGGCCGCAGGCAAAATGCGACGTGATGCGGCCCTTTCTGCTCACTAGACACTGAAAGCTAATGAGAAACATGGTCTCCTGCAGTAACAACTTTAATCACTATAAGTGTTTTAGTTGGTTGCCAGGTTGCTTTATTTTTGCAATACTTAAAAATATCTAAAAAACATGTAGCCTTGAATGTTTCAGTTTCATGAAAATATTTACTATTAATATAGTGGTCCAATTCGCTAGCCTTAGCAAGTTTACAATGTAATTGGCTGCTTTTGTGTCACTCGGGGTTTTGCTGCCTCGTTCTGAATCGCAATGACAGCAGTACGGCGCTACCCTCACACCCACATCGAAACGGTGTCTCTTTTGTGTTGTACAGTAAATTCTTGTAACGTTACCATGTGCGTGGTAGTTTCACTGTGGTTTGAAATGCACTCATCAACGCCGCATTGGAAAAATAACATTGTAGCTCCCCGTTATTAAAATTAAAATTTAGAACAAGCCATTCACTTTAGTTCCATCAGTGGTAACTCCACGTCTGATTAAGACAATACACTGCACGTGAGCAACACCTGGATTGTTCTGTACAGATCCGCTGTAAAGAACAATTTTTAGTAGCACGGGGCCCCAGGGAGACAGGCTTGGTGTAGCCTGAGGCCTGAGGCTTGGTGTGACAGCCGCCCATAGAGGCTCAGACAGAAGCCTGACGGGGATCGGTGAAACATGAACACGGCCTGACTGGAGCTCGTGTGACGTGGAGTGGGGAGCAGGGTCAGTGTGTCGGCTGAGCAGGAACAAGCAGAGGCTGATTCCACAGGCAGTCCTGCTCAGGAGAAGGGCGGCCGAGCAGTGAGAATCGGAGACCTTTCCCATTTGTGTCTTTTTAGTTTCCAGGAGTCCTAATCCCTGCTGTTGCCAGAAAGACATGAGCAGCCAAGATTATTCTCAAACATCTAGTTTATTAGAGGATTTCTCCTAAATATTGCAAAGAAACCAACAACCAATCAATGATAGACATTTTCTTTGCAATAAAGTTGTTTAGAAACTGTCATAAAAAAGCAGAAAACTGAAAACAGTAAACTGAAGACATTCAAGAGCCCGGGTCTGCCTGCTCTGCACTGCTGACAGCACATCTGACCAATTAAAGAATGGTCTAATGATGCCAGGACAGTTTTCAAAACAGGTCAGTCTTATTAAAGAGATTTCCTGATGTCACATTAAACACTGACATGAACAGCATCAATATAGCTGTTGTCACAGACTACAATACAATATATCAGAAGGCCAACAAAAAATTGCATCATTCATTACTGGTCGTCCTGTGCATTCACAGTTACTGGAAATCCCTGCTGGGTGCGTGATGATTACATGGGATTGTAACTCAGCCATATTTGTACAGTGCAATATATTGGATGTTTTACATTAAGTCTTATTGTCTAAAGTCAGACCCATTTAGATTCATCGTTAGCTGGACTGAACCTAATTATTGAAATTGCAGTTTATACAATTTATTGCCTGAGTATTTATTTTTGTCAGTGTGTTGGGCTGAAAGCGCAAACATGCTGACTGAAGCAGTGTTTGTCTTTCGTATGACATCATGGTGTAGGGTCTTTCTGTTAGCAAGAATTTCAAGCAGTGATAATGGAGGGGGGATCAATTGATCTTCAAATACAGTGTCAAGCATGTTTACGGTTCTCATCTAATTAAAATTGTTTTTAAAGAGATAGATGACCACATTCACAAAGAGAAGGCAATTTAATGAGCAAACAACTTTGGCCAAATTAGGGCAACATCCAGTGCTAATAAATATACAGAACAGGGCAGTAAAATATTGATTACAGCTCAAAAGCAGTGATCAGACCTCCTGGAAGCACAAGGCCCTGCTGAGCCCAGAGAAGAGCCCCTGGTCCTGAAGTTCACTGACAGCAGACAGCCTCAGGAAAGCACAGCTACAACAGCACAACAGAAAGTCAACCAAATTACAGTACAAGTCAAACAGTACCTCACCCACTGGAACACGGACACAAACTGGATACTAGCTGATTATCTTACAAAAATAAGAGACAACAAGGAAGAACAGACCCTGACAAAGTACATTCTCAGTGACTACATCCCAGGCAGAGAAACTGGATGACGCAGGCAGACCAGGCTGTCCAGAGAGGACAGGAAATGCTCCCACTGTCATCAGGAAAATGCAAACACAGAGATGTACTGTAAGCAGAGATTCAGCTGCACTGTAAGAAATACTCTGGGATTCAACAAACATTCTTTCCTTATATTAACAAATCTAATCCCAGAATTCTTACAACTGTCAGTATCAGACCAGCATCTGATCTTACTGGGCTTAAGAAACTCAATAGAGCTGTAGTCCCATATGTGATCTCCCGTCACAGCCTGAGGAACAAGCAGAGAACCTGTCTCTCAATAACGTTTTATGTGATGTACATAAATGTCCAATACGTTTGTACTGTAAATGTTGTGTTATTTGTATCTTGTTTGGCAAAACTGTAATTCCTCGGTCATACCAATATATACCTTTGAATCTGAATTTAATAAGCTTGTAGACTTTGGGTAAATTATTTTTTTGGCCTTGTTTTATAGTCACACAATTCAGCTGTATAGTACTGTAGGTACTATTTGTATAGCCAGTCTCAAGAAAATATTGAGCAAGTCGCTGAAATACAGACTCTTTAAGGTGAATTCTTAGTTTTGGTTTTTTCGCTCACTGATGAGCTTTATGGAGCAACAGACAGCGTTATTAATTTAAGATCTCTCAGGATATCCAAGAGCAGAGCCAGGAGAGCACAAGGCTGAGAATTCACCTCGGAGAGCTGCAGGTCCCACATGTCACAGGTGCAGCAACTCCTCAGGCGACCCTAAAGCTGGCATGTTCCTGCCAGGTCTACTGCTGTCCAGGCTGAGTGTCCTCGGTCCGAGCCCTGGGCTGCAGAGCCCAGCTGCAGGACCCGGAGCGCCGGCGCTGGCACTGGCGCTGGCCCAGAGCAGCCCGCCCCTGCCACAGCTGCAGCAGCTGGAGCTGAAATCCCGCCAAGCGCGTAAGAAGAACCAGCGCATCTCCATCACCGGCGACTGCGATGGGTACCCGTGCGCGCAACGCCAGCGAAGGAA